TAGAACATTACTCAGACCCACTAAAGTGTATTAGTTATTGAGGTTACTTGACATGAGTTCATTTGGCTGAAAGTCACCATTATAATAATTACATTTACTATTACTTGGGTTATTATGATTGCTTGGTTAGTAATGTTGTAACATGGATCAAATGAGAATGGTGACAGTCAATGCATACATTCAATGGATGCTAATAATGATTAATTCACCTAGACTGGTTGTACATCTAGAGAGAATGAGATTATATTGTGGTGAGACTCGTCCATCTTTTGTGACAGACTATAAATAATTAATTAAGTGCTAACAATTTATCTGACATTTAATTAATAACATTTATTAATTTTTGTCTGAAATATAAGGCTGATATTTACATGTACGTTTTGTACATGAGTGGAACAAAGTGATTTTTTTCTTGACAAATAGTTTTTATTAATATTTGCACATTAAATATTTTATATAAAATACATTTATTATATATCATTTTTGAAGCTTCTATATATGTTAATTCACATGTAGGCATGTTTTAGTTAGAACATTAGATCAGTTGAGTAATCATACAATTTTTTTAAACAAATATGGAAAATAAATATATTCTGTGATTAGTTTTGAGGTTATTATGAGAATACCATCGAATATGAATAATAATAGTATTGCATATCCCACAATGCATATCAATATGTACTCATTTTCTTAACCAACCATATGCAAAATGGTAAATAAGAAATAACTTGTCTCCAGATATTAATTTCAAATTTTTGTCCCTGAAAATTGACAATTCTTGTCACAAGCCAGAAAGATATACAGTGAAATGGTTTTCTTTCTGTGTGTCCATTTTTCAATCTAGACTGTACATATATTATCCTTTTTTATTGTCATCACTTTCTCATTTAATTACAAAATGTGTTGGATAATAAGATTTGGATACTACAATTTACAACCCTTCCTAGATGGTATATTTTTACATAAATTGTGTCGGTAATATTCTATATTAATTTGGAGACTAGTTCAAAATTAAATTTCATTTGCCTTAGCATGTGTGATATTATTCCAGTCTTCTCCCAAATGGAATTTGTCTGCATGTATTATCGGTTGTTTAAACTAATTTATTTAGTTCATTGCTATAGTAAGTCTGTTGATACACAAAGCCAATGCATATACCGGGTACCTGTAAATGTTATTATATTCATATTTGGATGAAGGCGTCAATGCTGATTTATTTCATAGACTGGAGTTTATAATATTATAATTACATTTTACAGTTTGCTCACAAACTGAAATGATCTGATCAGTTTAACATTGTACCTTGATATGCTAACCTCAAAATGTGTTTTCTTGGGTTCTACATTGAATAGTTCCTATTTTGGAAACAGTTTGTAAGTTTGTTGTTAGACAATTCATTGGTCCTACGTTCAATACTCGGTAGTGCCCATTTTGATGAAGTCCAGAAACATCTTTTCAGTGTCATATTTAGCACATTTTAAAATCAATACAACTACAATGTATGGTCTGGTCTTCGCATGAAATAGTATAGTGCATACTACTTCTAGCCCTGTCGTCCGCCCGTCCGTCCGTCCGTTACAGTTTTTCTGATGTTTATGGACAGATTGCTCAAACTTTGCACATTGTTGATATATAATGATGTAGTTATGCTTCAGATTGGATTCCAATTGGCCTAACCAAGTTACATTTTATGTCACAGAGGCCATTGTTACAGAGGCCATTTCTTCCAAGACTTCAGATATTGGTGTTACCTAGATCAATTTGTTAAATCTGTTGAATGTTGGTCAAATTGGTCAGGTATGTATATGTGTGCAGTGCTGTGTATGGAGAATGCCCCTATATTGCAGTATGGACCAACATGATGTCAAAATGTACAATTAGTATAACAAATTTAATAAAATAAAAAGTGATTTTTGCCTATATTATACATAGTTAAACTAGCCAGTGGAACTATAAAATTGCAAGTATTGTTGCAAATAGTGACATGCAATTAGTACAAGTACTATAATAATGTTCTCAGACAAGAGATATGACTGAAATATCTAGTCATACATGGTTATGATTTCATTAAATATATACATTTGTCATACCATAGCCCATTGGAATCAGCCTGATCATAAATACCATATTTGCTGTCTGAAAAGTGCATGTACTTTTAGTAAATGACAGAGGTGTGTTCATTGTCAAAATAAGACATATTTCTGAATCAATGGTTTAGCTTACAATAAATGCATTATTTACTTTATGTGCACTTTTATTGGACATGTGCCTTTAATATAGTAATCACTCAGTATTCCTTATTTTTACTTCATGCCTCCAATACTCCTAGCACAAAGGAGTTCTTTCTAAGATTTCTTTGATATTTATTTAACCTTACAAGTGGTCTATATATTTTGATTACATGTACATGAATACATTACTGGCTTTGTTTCTTTACAATATTTATCATTGCCATTAGTAGTACTGTAAATTCTTTATTTTGCTGGAATTAATTTTCACTCAAAAGTCATTTTTGAGTGTTTTGGATGGAATTTATTTCCACTAATTTTTGATGAGTTGAATGTAAAATATAGGAAAAAAGGTATATTCACTGGATTTTATTCACTTAATCACCCCATCCCAAAATAGCAAAAAAATTTGAAGTATGAAAATTTGCATGTAATAATGAAAGCAAAAATATGACGTTCGCATATGAAAACAATATATTTTGCATGACAAACTGCATCCATTGTTTGCTTGGATATTCAGGCAAACAGTAAGCATAAACGTCCCTAGGAGGATTTACCGTAGATTATTCAAAATGGTAATTGAGTAATATTGCTTTTCTTTTACACACATTGATACTCAACTCATTAAAATCAGTAATACACATACATGTACATTTGTAATTAGATATGAATAGTCATGTAGACTGGTTATAAACTCAAATCCATGTTATATTTTTGCGTTTATTTGCCTCACTCTCAGATTTGGTTGATATTGTCAAACTGAGCTGTTATCCATCATACTATTTTGATTTCAACTGCTTACTGTAAAATACTTTATTTTTGCTGGAATTATTTTTCGGTGAAAGGACTTGTTGGGAGTTTTGTATGGAATTCATTTTCACTGATTTTTGACTAGTTGAATGTAAAATATAGGGAAAAGGGTATATTTGCTGGATTTTATTTTCACTGAATCATTCTTTCATCAAAATTGCGAAAACTAAATATTTTTAGTATTTACTAATTTATAAAGTTGCTTCATTTGCTAATTCATTTGATATATTTGTTATTTTGCAAATAAATATGTCTGGTGCAAATCAGCCTAGTATCTCCATACATACCCATAATAAATATGTTCTATTTTCAGCATTACATAGAGTGTATAATGAAAGCTTGATAAAGATGAGAAAATCACACAATCAACCACTTTCTAGTTTACGATCTCAATACACTGCTATTATTGATCTGTAATTACCTCCCAAAGAATATTGTAATAGTATGCATACATATTCTATATTTGTGTTAATAGGATGTAGTGGTTCTTATACCTGCTTAATTGATACTGCGTACATAATATACATTACTGATGGTCACCATCTTATAAAACTATTCACCGCATACATGTAGGAATTGTCCAAATATGGCTAAAGTCAATACAAACTAAATTAGACCACAAAACACCCTGGATGTTTCTATTCTAAACCATAGATTGTATTTGTGTGGTAGTGAAGCTATGTGATACCTGTAAAATCATAAACTAACTGCTAATGTTATTTCTCCTTCAGAAAAAGAATACAGTACAGCCATTGACATGTTATCATGATTGTAGGTTTTGTTGTAAATCATGCATGTACATGTATATTGTAATTTGTCTTAAATCTGAGAAGTTTCTCTAAAAGGTCAAACAGTTTTTGTTTACTCTTAAATTTCAGAAACGCTCACAAGGCAAAGACATGAATATTGTATTAGCATGGGAGAAGGGTTACTCAGGGAAAAATGTTGTGGTAACAATTTTGGATGATGGTATTGAAAAAAATCACCCAGATCTCATCGATAATTATGTAAGTCCCTTATATTCTCAGTTTTCATATATTACACTGTATCAGTTTTTGGTATATACTGTGAATAAACTAACCCAAGTCCCAATGTTCATTTTTGTGGTTCTGGATCAGGCTGTCTAGAACAATATGTAAAAACTTGGTGTTGGTGGATGTCATCAAGGAGGCATCTTGTGTGCTGATGATGCGCTGTGACTTAGGTAGTGCATCATCTACAATCTACTGATTGAAGAAAGGCAGTTGTCAAGCAATCCTATCATTAGGGGTTTTGTACACTACCGGGGGTAGTTGCCAACTAATTGAATCACATAGAAATGCTTTGTTGTTGATGTATGTGATTCTCGCTGCTGTTGGGGAGAATAAATTTATTATCCCTTATCAATTCTCACCAATATATTATAATCTCTCCATTAGATAATAATAAATGTATTATTATCAACAGTAGCAGGAATGAAAATGTAATAATTCTGACAAACTGTTCTACTCTGTAGTTTGTTTATGCATCATGTACATTTGTAGATGAATACTGAAAGTGGACACATTACAAATTGTATCTTTCTATCATAAACTATTTAATTAATTCCTGTGAATAAGAGAGTCATGCTGCCTAAAATTTCTACCGTCATACACTTTGGATTGTTCTCATTGTTGGTCAAATGAAGTGTTCTCCATTCCTTTGGAAAATGCTGTTATCTCATTCATGCATCTCAGCTAATGGCACTTGACATTGAGATAAGACAACATAACTGTACTTGTAAATGTAAGCTCCTGCTGTGTAAATCTGTGCTCAGGTGGTCTGTTGGATTTGGTCCATAATGTAATGATAAATCTCTGATTTGATGTGAGTTTCTAAATTAACCATTTTGGTAAATATGATAAAATTATTGTTTTATCTTATTTTTCTGTTTAAATTGTTTCAAATTCTTTTTTTAGTAATGCTACATGTCTTATCTCTCTGTCATTGTATTTATATCTTTTCAATTTTTATTATATTCATATTGAATTTTCTGCTACACTGTGACTTTGTCAAGTGGAGCTTTATTTTATACCGGTATGACTGATTTTCCATTGTCTGTCATCGCCGTTAGCATCCACATCAATTTTTTACTTTTTTTACTTCTTCTTAAAAACTACAAGTCTGATTGTTTTGATACTTATACATATAGATACTACAGGTGGGCCTGTAATTTCTCTAATTTTGATAAATATTTTTGTCATTTTTGATAAAAAGTGATATTTTCGACTTTTTGTTAATTGCTTTGATATTATACCACAGGTGGGCCGATTGGTGGATTAATGTATTTTCTTTATTCTTATTAAAAGTTTGGCATTTCAGGCTGCAAAAGAATTTCATAAACTATGCTTGCTGGTGTATCTACTGAGCAACTTCAACACTTGAGTGGTGACCTTAATATCCATCATTATATTGGATTGGATTTCTTCAAACCTTCAAATTGTCATGTTACGTCATCATTGTTCACTTCACACACACACTATGATTCCCTTATCCTAAATTTCAGATATCTAGCTTATTTGTTTTCAGAAAAGTACGTTTTATTTTGCCATTATTGTTTGATTTGCTGACAACTGTGTATATTATTTGCTGACAACTGTGTATATTATTTGCTGTATTTGTGTTTATTTGCTTGTGTTTCAAATAGGATAGTGATGCTAGTTATGATGTTAATTCACACGACTCTGATCCGTCTCCAAGATATGATCCGACTAATGAAAATAAGTATGTATCTGATGATCTTTCATAAATGGCAATACTCACTCATAAACTAGTTCCTATGTATGAATGTCACTTTTTGATCAGTTCAAATTTATCTTTCATTTTATATAAAAATGACACAAATTACATTATATGAGATACGACAATCAAAAATAATCATCATCATGTGAATTTTGTGAGTGAGTATGGTCTCATTTTGATGCCATGGAAACCCATTCTCTTTTGCATAACTGCTCCTATTATTTGGCAAATGACTGCGGGTGCCTGTTTAATATTGTCAACTTACTCAGCATCTCAGAATGGTTTTCCATGTCCTGTATTGAGCTCTGTTTCTGACATATGATTTATATGATTTAATAATTCCATGCAAACAATAACCAGGACAATGGTGCTAGTTATGATATAAATGGTAACGATCATGATCCACAACCAAGATATACTAAAAGTAACGAAAACAGGTTGGAGTGTCTTTAACAGTAAATTGTTTTATTTTAGAACAATTTATATTTATAATTGGTATTTATGTTGTCATACATGTATGTATGTTTATTTTATTCTTAATGGGTATGTCTCAACAATTTGATTATGTATCATTCTGAGGTTCTGGTCAATATTTGTCAATAAATTGCTCTGGTCAATATTTGTATATTTAATAATCTGGTCAATATTTGTATATTTAATAATCTGGTCAATATTTGTCAATTTATTGCTCTGGTCAATATTTGTAAAGTTATTGCTCTGGTCAATATTTTTATATTTATTGCTCTGGTCAATATTTGTCAATTTATTGCTCTGGTCAATATTTGTCAATTTATTGCTCTGGTCAATATTTGTATATTTATTGCTCTGGTCAATATTTGTATATTTATTGCTCTGGTCAATATTTGTATATTTTATTGCTTTGGTCAATATTTGTATATTTATTGCTCTGGTCAATATTTGTCAATTTATTGCTCTGGTCAATATTTGTATATTTATTGCTCTGGTCTATATTTGTATATTTATTGCTCTGGTCAATATTTGTCAAGTTATTGTTCTGGTCAATATTTATCAAGTGTTTTTGGTTCTGATCAATGTTTGTCAACAATTGATTAAACTAATCAAACAATTTTTACAAAATGTTGACAAAGTGTGTACAGATTATGCATATCATGTTGTTTCATACCCAGGTACAAGTATATCAACAACACCGTTTGTTGCGTCTGTTTAGTGCATACACGAATTTTTTCATTGCTTACAATTGTGTAGTTGTATTTCTCATTATTAGATGTATAATACATCTGTGTTCATTGAAACTACAGTTGCCCAATTTTACCATTTCTGTATGTGCAGCGTGCAAGTTTTTTGTGCTGCCAGTATTCTAGATTTGAGATACTCCATGTCTAGACCTATAACAGTTAACCAGGCATTTGTTTTTATCACTCGGCTTTAGAGTAGTGCTTACTGGCCTGTTCTGCACCTCCAGCATTATGCAAATTTCTTTTCATATTCCCAGACATGCTGGAAATGCAAAATATCCTATGAATAAATTTATATCATTTCGCAGATGTATGGCTCTTAAATCTGTGTGGGATTTGGAGAATACTGTATATGACAAAAGTAATGATACATGTAGATAGAACACGCGAAGGGAAATGACTGAAAGAGAATTTGAATCATTCATTCATTCATTATATCTACTCATGCTATTACTTGAGTGACTGAAATCTGATACGAGAAAACGACAGTTCCGATTAATATAACATGTTATAATGACCAACAACAAATACTGATTAATATGTTTGCCATATTTGGTTATAAAAATGTTCTGAAATGAATTCAAAAAGAAATTAAAAACTAAACTTTGAAGAATGATCAATTTATGTATATCCACGATTAAGGTCATTCCCAGGCATTTTTCATATCAAATAAAAGTGAAAATATTATCACATTCTTTTATTTTAAATGTGTGACATAATTATTGATTTAGTCATCATCTTTTGGGCTTTTTTACTTGTATGAAACATTTTTAGAAACTATTGGAATAGACCGTTTTCCGTTCACTGCGAGATCAATATTTTCACCATATGTACCTAAACAATATTTCGAGATATGACGAAACCTTTTTACCTCAGAAACCAATGGTAAATGGCCTAAAAATTACTATTTTCATGGGTGTTTAACCCATTCTTTGTGTGAAAATTTTGATGACCAACATTTTTTTTTTTTAATAAGCAACAGTATAAATTAAAGCCATACGGCGAAAGTCAAGGGAATCTGGTGATAAGTAATAATGGTAGCAAACTACATTAAAGATAGTAAAAAATGTATTGCCTTTGAAACTAGATAATGTCACAGTGGTATTTGTATGCTGGTACTAGGTGATCATGTTCTATCTGTGAATAATCTTGCATTTAATACCCCAAGGAATTGGAAGGTAGAATGTTATAGAACATGTTGGTAGAACATAGGCACAGACATGGACACAGATGTGTTGAAGATGCAATGTGGCTAACTTATGGGTGTGTTTTAAACATTTTTTTAAACATTTATAATTTATCAAAAAATACAAATGTTGATTTAGCAGTTAACATTGTAGTGTTCATAAGGACTTCAAAGTACCTGTACGCTTTGGTAAATCTACCAGTAATTCTCATACGCATTGCAGCTGTAAAACTGTTTCTACCATGATACAGTTTTTAACAGAATTATTGAAACATACTCTAAGTTACCACATTGCCTCTTTAAATGTGGTTTTTCACATCAGTTTAATATTGACTGCGTCTTGTTTTGATGTTATTGTGATTGTACAGTATATGGCAGATCAGTTTACACAAATATTCACAAGATGATAGTAGCTAGTGCAGTTGTTGCCAACGTACAGGGATAGCAGTATAAAGGCTGTTGATAATTCTATACTAAGTGTATTATGACTCAGTCTTTTCATTGGGACATTCATGGCAGCATTTATCTGGGTTCCTTCATTTTCTTTGTAATTAGATGTTTTTTTGTATTTTTAAAGATATTCATATTTGATTGATATATTTCTTATATATAATTAATATTAGTAATTATTCTATTTTAGACATGGTACACGATGTGCTGGTGAGGTGGCTTCCCAAGCAAATAATAACGTGTGTGGTGTGGGAGCTGCTTTCAATGCTAAAATTGGAGGTAATTATTTAAACTATATGATTCATCAGTATTCAAACAATTCAACTATTTAATCCATCAATGTTTGTTTCTATGGTAATACCCTTCAACACACACAGGCTCTTTCTAAACTTAATTATTATTTTTAAGGAATATTTATTAATTTTGTCCAAAACTTGTATAATTTTAAAATCCCACAAAATCATTTATTGAGACCCAGCATCTCTAAATGACAGTCACTTCATTCCTTGCATAGACTGTGCTCTCAGATAATTTCTACTTTTCATCAGGTGTAAGGATGTTGGATGGTGATGTAACTGATGCTGTGGAGGCCCAATCACTGAGTCTCAATCCACAACATATAGATATTTATAGTGCTAGTTGGGGTCCTGATGATGATGGTAAAACTGTTGATGGGCCAGCACAGATGGCTAAGAAAGCATTTCTGGACGGTGTCACAAAGGTAAATGCATTGCACTCTTGTTGATAAAATTAAGTTCCCATTCTATTGACATTTTAAATGAATTATTTTGACTAAGTTACTGTAAAATATTCATATTCATATTCAGTGGGTTTTAAATTCATGGTTTTATCATTTAGATAATGTGTTCTATGCTAAATTTTACATATTCACTGTGTTTTAATTTAGCGTATTTTCCAGTCAGCGAAATAAGCAAAATTAAAACCCAGTTAATAATTAACCCCTTTACAGTATTTATAAATCTCTTCTCTGTGAAAACCATGTCAATTTCTTTGTACCTCTCACAGGGACGTGGTGGACTGGGATCCATTTTTGTCTGGGCATCTGGTAATGGTGGTCGACAGCATGATAGTTGTAACTGTGATGGTTATACTAACAGTATTTATACATTGTCTATAAGTAGTGTGTCTGAGACTGGTAGTATACCATGGTATTCAGAGGCTTGCTCTTCTACTCTAGCTACTACATACAGTAGTGGTAGTGGTAGTGAAAAACAAATTGTGAGTAAAAAGAATTTTTCTCTATAAAACTTTGATTTATTTTTGCCATTAAAACATCAAATCACAGAAATTCCTAGCAGTAAAAATTGAGAGTATTTTGCTGAAGAAATGAGTACTAGCTTTTGCCATGTATTATATACTGTAACACAACAGGCAAAAATTGAAAAACATCATTTGGTTCTAAAATTGAAATTTTACTGGTATTTCATTATGATAACTAAAATACTCAATACTTTTAAAATATGCAAAGTGATTTAAATTATAGAGGTAACAAAAAGTGAAAAACTTGGCAAATGCAGTGCAGTTATGTTTCATAAATGACCTTTCTCTATCGATGATGGCAGAGAACATAACATGAAAGTGATTTTCTCCTTCAATTATGAGTCAAATCATGTATACAAAATACAAGCTGTTCTCTGATTGGTCTGACAGTTAAGTGTTAGGGTTGGGTAGCCAATCAGGCACAGTGTTGTAAGTAGATTCCCATATTCTTGCAGGTAACCACAGATCTGCACAAAAAGTGCACAGACAGACACAGTGGAACATCAGCTTCAGCACCATTAGCTGCTGGTATTTGTGCATTAGCACTTGAAGCAAAGTAAGTTATGCTCTAATTCTTTGAAGATTACATGTATGTTTCCCTATGTTTGCATTTTTTTTTCTTCAAACACATTGCTGTCTAAAGGAAATACACATATTACTAATCACTATTTTTTGCACAAGATGGACTGTTTCTTCGTACCACTATTTATTAGTCCCCGTTCAGACATACCGGTAGTTCGAAAACGGGGACTTATGTTTTGACCTCTGTGTGCTTGCACGCGTGCGTGCGTGCGTGCGTCCGGACCTGTATCTTAGAAATGCCTGGACCAATCACAATCAAACTTCACACATACATCATACATGATATTATACATATGCACGTCAATATGTTTCACGATCTGATTCAAGATGGCCGAATGGCAGCCTTTTTTGTGCTAAAAATCATCAAAATCAAGCATTTCTCTGCTGTTTACAGATGGATTTCGTTCAAACTTAGTATATACATTAGACATTATGGGACCTTGATGCAAATGATTTTGTTTTTCAGATAAGATTCAAAATGGCCGACTGGCGGCCATTTTGTTTTAATGAATGTGGTTCTCGTGCCATATCTCTAGCTTACTTTCACTGATTATGTTCAAATTTTAAATATTCATTATACATCATGTCATAGATAGACAGATATATTGGTTTGACGATCCTATTCAAAATGGCCAAATGGTGGCCATTTTTGTGCTAAAAAATCATCAAATATCAAGCATTTCTGGCATTTATGGATGGATTTTGTTCAAACTTGGTACATATATTAGACATTACAGTTTCCTGATGCACGTCATTTTATTTTTCAGATTGGATTTAAAATGGCTGACTGGCGGCCATTTTGTTTTAATGATTGGGCTTCTAGAGCCATATCTCTTAAATGCTTTGACTGATTATATTCAAATTTTATATATTAGTTATACATCATGTTATATATATATATACATGTATTCAAAATGGCTGATTTTGAATGCTGTTCCAGAGCAATATCTCTCAATATGAACATGTACTTGTGTGACGATCAGATACAAATGTCAATCATTTTAATGTTAAAAAATCAGATTCCTGACATGGTTATATTCCAGTTATATTACTATAAACAAAACTATATATCTTAAATTTCATAACTAACGGGGACTGTGCCATGCACGGCTTGTTCATATTTCTATACAGGCAGTAATGTTCTGAGTATTAAAGCAGACATCAGTCAATGCTTGGAACAAAAGGGTTTTCCAGTTTCAACACTTGAGGGCGTTTTCACTTTAAAACATTTATTAGTCAACTCACTGTAATTTTCTGTTGATACATTTTAAGATTACTGATTAAGTTACTGTTTGGAGTCTTTCATAATTTCACCACAAACTTATGAAACAAACTTTCAAAGCCATTCAATTAATATTCTGCAGTAATTCGCAGCATATTACTTGTCATGACTCTCATTTATATTGCAGTATCCTCGGGGGGCGGACATCCGGGCATTTTCACCGCCTGGCAACCTGCGGCGGTGAAAACAAAGGCCCAAAACTCGCAGAAAACGGTACTTTGGGATGATTGTTGAGACTCCTCTGAACAGTGTAACAAGATTAGCCCTACGTGTGTAACATATATAAATTTGGTTGTTTGGGATTACTTCAAAGTTGAGTTTGTGTTGTTTTCTCGAATTTTCACCGGCTCGACCGGCGTTCTTCAGCAGCGCGCACAGAGCCCGTAGAAATGCATGTACAGTGGTGCGTGTCGTAGCAACGTGGAACGTCTTGTGACGTAGCTCCGCCCCCGAGGATACATTGTACATGGTGATGGCAATTCATAAAATTACAGAAATGGCAAAAAATATAAATTCAGTATGCCTAATCTCAGTTTCAATTCAATGGCTTTTCTTGGCAACCGCGACCAGCAATTCGGAATTTTTGTCATGAACAGATTCAATTTAATTTAGCTGTCAAGTGTCTCCCTGGTATTGGTATCATGATTGAGATATTAACTATTAAACCTCAATGATTATATTTCTAGTTCTAGCCATTGAAAAAAATTAATCTTATTATAAGATAATAAATGAATCATTATGTATAGTGATGTGTAATATTACAATGTTACGGGTAGTAATAACCAAGTCAGTGCATCCAATATCTTACACCTGTTTTCAAATACATGTACTGTTTCTTTCTCCATATTGTAACAAATCAATAGCGCCCTCTATGTTGAATATTGAATTTTTTTATTATTTTTTTTATTACTTGCAGTCCAAAGCTAACATGGCGTGATATGCAATACATTGTAGTAATCACTTCACGCAGTGAGAATCTGAATGCCAATGATTGGGTTACTAATGGTGGGGGTTATCACATTAGTCATTCATTTGGATTTGGTTTAATGGATGCCACTGCCATTGTTGAATATGCAGAGAATTGGAATACTGTACCAGAACAACACATATGTTCTCAGAAATCACTGGCAACACCTGTGTAAGTATTTCAACCTTTCACAGATAGAGTTATTTTCTCTTTTCAAGTCTGAATGAAGAGAGCTCATAGCTCTTTTCATATTTATCTTAGAAGTAAAGTTCATGAATGGTTTTCAGATTTGTCTATTTATTCTTCTGATTTTCTATTTTGAAAAAAAAATGTAAATATTTATCCAAATTGATGAATTTATTTCTTTGTCAGTCTTTACTCAGATTTGTAATTTTCTGTGTATATTTGCAAATTAAATTTTGAGATTGCTGTAAAGAAATTTAATGAAATTCCTGCCACAGATTGTTTTACTGGACTGGCAAGTTTACCTACAAGAAACAAAAAATATTTATTGAAATAAACTTTTCACAGTACACCTCAAAATACAATTTGCACAAAATAAAAGATTGACATTGAAATACTGTTTTGCACTGGTACAACAAATTGTTTATACCTGACCACCATTTTTTAATGAATTCTGTACTAGTAAATATGAATCAATAATTATTGCACATTGTGTTTTCTTTCAGTGCTATTACCAGCAATGGTCTCAAGTTAACAACAACCACATCTGGATGTCAAGGATCCAGTGATGAAGTAGTATACATAGAACATGTACAAGCAATACTGAGTCTGTCTTACAGTCGTCGTGGTGATTTGGAAATATACTTGACTTCTCCTCATGGTACCAAATCTATGTTATTACCACAGAGGAGTAGAGACAGTGACAGCCATGAAGGTTTTAAAAGCTGGCCCTTCATGACCACACACTGCTGGGGTGAGAGATCTTTTGGAACATGGACCTTAGAAATTCATGATAAAGGAAATAATAAGAACAACCATGGTATGTAAAAAAAAAACATTAAAATATTATCATCATTTTAACTGCAAAGTAGCATACAATGAGAATCGTTAGGGGTAAAAATGTTGGCTGAGCATCTTGTGTATAAGAATTCTTGCATTCAATTATCTAACGAACTCCTTAACAATCTTTCTTGGAAAAGAACCGTGTCTTTTCATCACATCAAACACATCAAGTGGTTCATATGTTTATGTGGCTGCTATTTTGAGTAAAATTCTTTGACACTAGTGTGTGCAGTGGGTGGTTATTTTACTTTTGTGTGTTTGACTGATAAACAAAAAGTCTAATGAAATGAGTGTTTAAACTTGTCTTGCCATTGTCCAATTCCCACGGTTTCACTGAAGCCAACTATCCATGGACGTCTCTGCAAACATGTGCTTGATCGTATTAAAAAAAAAATGTATTTGACCTCAGTTTAATTGATTGATTTGAGCAGGATTAATTAATGAACCTCCCTGTAACAACAGTTCGTATGAATTTCAGAATTAAACTAATAGTCATAACAAAAATATGTGACTTTGCGACAAAAATTAACATGCGACTTTGCTATGGAAACACGTCACAACATGTGATTTTGTGTTCCATTTACCACGGAAATGCGCCTAAGTGTGTGCCATTGTGTTTGATTTCCTTAACAGTGAATACCGGTTTATAGTAGGATATATGCTAAAGAATAATGGTTAGGTGACAGCTAAATATATCAACATTGATTGGTAAAAAATGTTGTTTTGCTTGCCATACCACAATCTCCAGTCGGGCCCACAGAAGCTTGTAATATGTGTATATACAAATAACAATGCTGTTATTTTGATGTATGAATCATAAGATAATAACATTAATAGCTAGAGAAACGTACCGATCACTGAATCATGTTGCCAGCAAACTTGGAATCACTAAAAAATGTTATGTTATATATTTCAGGCATGTTGACTGACTGGACATTGGTATTACATGGGACTAGTACTGATCCACTTGATGATTTTCGTGCAGTCAATAAAACAAGTGAGACAATCCACTGTCCCATGGGATTCTACACAACTAGTCAAACAGTTAATAGCAGTCTTGATTACCAGTGTAATCCATGCCATACTACATGCAGGACATGTACAGCTTCAGGACCTAATCAGTGTACCTCATGTCATTTCTTTTATGAGAAACATGACACATCATGTGTTTTTATTCAAGAGATGTCGGATATGGAACGTGGTTCAAACATCTACTACATAATAGCTGTTATTCTTTGTGTTGCTGCAATTGCCTTGTTTGGTATCATCTTTGGTCTTTTACAAGCGAACACCCAAGGACTGCTTTGTTGTAATTCTACATCATATGTCAGTTTGGATAAACAACATTTTAATGGATTGGCTGCTAAAGAGTACTTGGAGAGTGATGATGAGCTGTATGAAGATGGTGAAGAGGCTGAAAACGAACATTTTACAGTAATGTCAAAGTGAAAGACTTTTCATTCATTCAATAAATCTATTAGATTGTACATTTCTAATGTGAATATTGCCTTACTTGGATCATGCAAATTTAAATAAACAATTTATATAGCTCCTAAATTTACATGCATTTTTTCGAACAAAAAATCATGAACAATGAATTATTTTGAAACAATGTAAACCTAGTATTTATGTAGCTTTAGCCTTTGACATTTTTAATTCCTGGCCTGTGGCTACCAACTCGAAGACTCTAATAGCCCTCCATGTGCCACAATTTTATTCCTCAATTAGGATTGAATCATTTAATCTTATGTTAGATAATCAGAGGGAGTGATAATATTAGGACAGTTTTGGTTCTGAATGTATTCACTGTTGAGATCAGTGTCTCAGCTTTTCTGGATAAGATAATTTTTTCAAACGATGAAAATTCCTTCAGCTAGAAGGCTTGGAATTTTCCCACTTTATTTTGATCAAGAGTTTGCACTTTTAATAACTCCCATCCCACAAACTGGTTCATTTTAAGCTTGCACGCAATGTTACTGTCTTGTCATTGTCGTTCCGTCTCTAACTCTGTTTCTTGAGGTTACACTAACGCCAGCTATTCTTGTCCAATCATGTTAGTCATTATGAAATCTTGCTCAACTTCTGGTTTGATTTTCTTTTCTTTTTTCTGAAAATGTGATTTAAAATTATCTTCTTGTGTTTATGATGAATGAAAAACAGTTTTATTTGATCATCTTCAAACTCAAAAATTTTATCAATCACTATAAAATTTCAATTTTTAAAATAGTTTTATATTGGTGTGATTATCATGATATAAGTTAAAATTAAACATAAAAAAGTGCAGAAATGAAGACATTTGCACGGATGTTCATGAGAAACAGATTCAGTGATATATACTCCGTTACTTCGATAGTAACTGGATATGTTGTTTTCACTATGGTAGTATAAATAATTTTTTTCATCATTCTCAAGTGTTTTTCCTGGCAAAATCGGGAACTTGCGCAATTCATAGTATATTGTTCTATAAAAGACCTTGTGATACAAAATGTTATTGTACAAGTTTTAAAACATACCCAAGCATTATTTAGTTTACATTTTCTCAGAGTTGGATAATCACCAGTGTGTTGTGTGGGATCTCAGCCAAGTCTGATTTTTGATGTCTTGCTTGTATATTTTTATTTGTGACAATGTAATCATCTTTAAACATGGATCACTGTAAAATATCAATTAAGTTCAATTTTGAGGTGACTAGCATGTATTATTTTTACAATGTAAGTGAAATGTAGTTTTTATTATGTGCTGTATATCATTTTTCCAGCCAAAACTTGACGCATAATTTTGCTGCCAAAACTCTGGCCTGTAAAATTTGTTGTAGATGTATTTAGTATCTTTTCTGCTATTCTTGTTTTTTTTCTATCATGAACCTTAAGATGATCATAATATGCATTATTAATGGTACAAAATATTATTAAACAAGTATTTATACCTACCCCAGCATTTATTTAATTTATAACCTTTTAGATATTCACACTTAGCATCAGTCTAGTTTGTATCTATCCTGAATTCTTATTCATTATGTAATATCTAGATTCTCAACAGGTTTCTAAAGTTGCATTATGTTTTTATTCAAGATGGTCTGAAGATTGCATGATTTTTAGAAGACTAGTGCCATGAACCATGACTTATCTCAGTAATTTTCAAACAGTTGCCATTTGGTGATAAAGGAAATCACATGGCCGCTATGTTGAGGGCTATAGGTTTTATTGCCAATAAACTGTTTTTCTTCACTCTCCTACTTACTTTTTAGAATTGTCAATACATGATGGAAAACATCACTACTCCCACATTGTATAATAAGCCAGAAATAAACCAACTTTTCATTTGGAACCATCAGTGTTTTATTAACTTGATTGCCCAGTGTCTCAGATTGTGGTGAGATGCTGTGGATTGGTGATATGACTGGTGAGCTAGTAATGTGATGTGGATAGGACTGG